TCCATTATAGTAGGCAGTTGGGCTCCACGGATTGGGTCCATTTGGGTATGGGCACGTCACAGTACCCAGGAAGTAAACAATGGAAAAAGAGAAACCTCCAACGAGGCGTTCTGGGGCAGCATAGACAGGTCTTTTCTGTGTTAGAGTTTTACTCCCTACAGGGTGTACTTTGAGGGTTTTGACTCTGCAGACCGTTTACATGCAGAAAAACCTTCATAACACACAAGGGGACGGGTAATAACCAGAAAAGCATGACATGGGACCTTTAAGGGGAAATGTATCAGTAGAATTTGTGAAGATATTGTTTTGTGTTTTAGCGATTTTTGTGTTTGTTCAGAAGCAATGATTTGGCTGTAATGCTTCCTTGCGCTACCACTTTCAGTTTAATCGAAGAGAGAATCATCTTTGTTCTCCTAGAAAATGTTTTAATAGCAGCTTTGATGCAGGTGCTCTTTTATGGGACTTTTTTCTGGCAATTACTTAAAAACTGAAGTTCAGCTTTTTCTTCTTTTTTTAAATTGCATTTAAACTGTGTACAAATACTTTGTGTGAGGGTGTTTTTGGTTTAAGCTTCCTCATGTGTTGTTCCTTCTTGACACATGGGTCACCTGTACTGCTCAGTGTGTAGCTTCTAATTGTCTCACCACTTATCTGTGAGGCTTCTTCAGCTCTATATGAAAGGTGGTTTGAATGTGTTTGGATGAAGGCCTCCTAGTGAGTAACGTGCCTGTCCTCTCAACTTCAGGCCTACCTGCAACAAGCCCAAGACCTGGTCATTCTTGAGAGCATAATACTCCAGACCTTGGGTAAGTTGGGATGGAAGAAACTGGGCCCTTTAAATTTCCCTCTAGAAACACATGTGATTTAAAAAAAATACTGCTAACCTGTTTTACTTTGTCCACAGAAAGCCCATATACGGTTAGCAGCACAGGAAAGAGACATTCAGGCTTCATATTAACAGCACTTTCTCACTGTTGCATTGCAGTGATGACGCTTTTGTTTTTAATATGTCCATAACTTTTAACATTTCCACTCTCCCCTTTTTTCTTTTATCTACATATTTTTAAACCATTTCTTTAAGGACTATGTTGATTCATCATAAACAGAATCACTCCGGTCACATTTTTCCATTATTATAGGCAGTTGAAGCAGATAAAAGTGCTTTTTAATAAAACACCAAATTGTGTTTTTTACTTTTTAAACCAGATTCAGGGTCATCAAACAAAGCGAGCGTTTTAATAATTGTACCGGCATGCCTTTAATATTTTTCACACTCATCTGTTGTTTTCACATCGTCTAGGAAGTTATTGGAAGAGCCCATGCAAAGTGATATTCCACGTTATTCTCCACAACACATAGTTTTGAATAACAGCATTCATTTTCTGGTTTTCAGGGAGAAATCTGTGTGGTGCAAATGTTAGCTTGACTTTTGCATTTCATTTATCGAGTCTCTTTTTGTCCTTTTTTTTTTATTACAGCTTTTGAAATCACCATTGATCATCCACATACTCATGTTGTCAAGTGCACTCAGCTTGTTAGAGGTGAGCATTAACTCTTCAATTTAGAGAATTTCATTTGTATATTTCACTATCGTTGTGTGTTTGCACGCTGAATCACTATCGCAGGTTTTAAGTGTGTTTTTTTGTTCTATTGTTGTTCCAGCGAGTAAGGATCTGGCTCAAACCTCCTACTTTATGGCCACAAACAGGTATATTCACAGTTCACTGCTGACATCTTTTCTCATCATGTATACCACCGCATTACTTGTGTATAATCCTCTAACTCGACATGTCTGTTCTCTCTCTTCTCCTGTTTCTGTTTTGTATTGCCTTCTGGGATGTATCCTGCCACGTAGTCTCCACTTGACCACGTTCTGCCTGCAGTACAGTCCGCCGGTCGTGGCCTGCGTGTGCATCCACCTCGCCTGCAAATGGTCCAACTGGGAGATCCCCGTGTCTACAGACGGCAAACACTGGTGGGAGTATGTCGATCCCACAGTTACCCTTGAGCTGCTGGATGGTATGTGCTGTTTATGACCCCCGAAACTCAGTTTATTTTGAATGTGCCTGGAAAGCAGTTACAAGTCAGTCTGAACTTTTACATTTCTCCAGCTGATCTTGTTTTTATATCTTCTTTCAGAGCTCACACACGAGTTCCTGCAGATTCTTGAGAAAACACCCAGCCGGTTGAAAAGGATTCGCAACTGGAAGGTACACATTTATTTCTCATTTGCAACCAAAGGAGTAAAGCCAAGACATCTTGCATTGTACACACATTTACTGTTCTCTGACCTCTCTGTAATTCTTTATTGGCTACCAGGCTGGAGGCTCAACACCAAAAGCCAAGCCCAAAGTCCAGGAGGAGGGTGACCAGAGGGACACCATGATGAGCATGATCTCCATGGCCTCATCAGAGAGCACCGTGGCGGGCTTGATGAGTCTCTCGGCTCCCCCTGACGCCTCGTCTTCCTCGTCTGCCGGTGACAAGGACAGGGGGGACGCCGGCAGCGCCGCCACGTGGAGTGGAAAAGGTCAGCCTGCGTCCGAGCTCAACAACGAGGTGCATGTTCCCGCTAAGGTGTCGCTGAGTGAATACCGGGCCAAGAATGCAGACGTCCTCGCCGCCCAAAAGAGGAAGCTGGAGAACATGGAGGCCAGCGTGAAGAGGGACTATGCCAACGCTGCTCAGGCTCTCATCGGACAGCAGCAGAGGAAGGATAAGCAGCAGCATCATCACCAGCAGTCCAGCTCCTCGTCCTCGGACAACCCTTCGCCCATTATCCTGAAAATCCCCCTGGAGAAGGAGAGGCACGAGAGGTCGTCTCTGAAAATGCGCTTCCCCTTAGCCGGGGGAGGGGGCGGCGCCAAGGGTCAGGAACAGGACATCAAGGTCAGAATACGAGTGCCTGAGAAGCAGAGGGGGAGTTCAGGAGAGGAGGGCAAGAGCAGAGACAAACACAGGGACCGCTCGAACCACCACCACCATCACCACCACCACCATTCCTCCTCCACCAGTGCCTCTCTCTCCTCCTCACACAAACACTCATCGAACTCTAGCGGGGCTGTCGGAGGTAGCAAAAAGGTCCCGAGCGACTCCTCGAGAACAAGCTCCTCATCTTCTTCGGCGTCTCGTAAGAGGACGCATTCCCAGGAGCCCACAGCGGGCGCTAACCCCGCGTCCAAAGTCAGCAAGTCCACCAGGAACGCTTACCAGATACCGTCCCTGTCTTCCTCCTCCGGGCAAACTCTGGGGCACAACCCTGACATTCTCCCCGCCCTGGGCCTCTCCCACCACCAAGGCAGCTTCTCGAAAGGCGACAAAACGGACACGAACGGGCACAGTGCGGCGGGCGGGCCCCAGTCGAACGAGTACCAAGACACTTTTGAAATGCTAAACTCTCTTCTGAGCGCACAGGGGGTCCAGCCAGCCCAGCCGTCCATGTTTGACTACAGAACCCAGTTTGGGGATTACCGGTTCAGCGGGGGCACCCGAGGAAACGGCAGGCCACCACCCCTCCCCTCAGAACCGCCCCCCCAACTGCCTCCGCTCCCCAAATAACTTCCTGATCAGGAGGTTTATTATGTACATTGTACTTTGACATCTTGTTACGTATGGTATTTTTTTTTTGTTCAACTCGCCCAGCATTTTGAATAGGTTTCAGTGTGACAGCAGTGAAATGTACTGCCGTGCGTGATACATCATTATTATTTTTTTCACTTCACACAGGGGCAATAATGAAAGGCTTTTAAAGCTTGCAACATGTGAGAAAAAAGATACAGGAAGGTGTAGATACAATGCTTTCTGTTTAACTCAAACGAAATGTGATGAGGGGACCTGGTATTTTTTTTAGCAACACTGTCATTGTCTTGAAATTATGGGGGAACTAAAAGATGTTAGGTCTCTTTACCGATTGTGTTTTTATAATATTTTATAGTATGTTATTTATTCATTTAATGCTTTTTTAAGAAAAAGAAAAAAACAGTCCCCTTTTCTACCTTTTATTTTTTTGAAGGTTTCCCGCTTCTTTTTTTAGGCGGAGGGATATTCCTTCATCAAGACTGTACAGGCTAGTTTGAGAGTGCATGTCTCCAAAGCCATCTTTTCAATATTTTTGTCTTGTNGCCACAAAATAATTACTTTTGAGGCAAATCTTGATCATTTTTTTTTTTAAGATGAATCAAGAAAATATCTTTTTTTAAGCAAGAATTATTTGGTTTCAGCTTAAAAAAAAAAATGATCAAGATTTGCCTCAAAAGTAATTATTTTGTGGCTTTCTATTTCTTCTAGAACTTTATATCTGGGTTCCTGATAGTAAGCCTGAATAAAAAAGATATTCAAAGATTTTGAGACATCTAGAGTTTAAGAAAATAGTGACAGACTTTTGGGAAATTAATCGGATCAAATCTTTTCTCAATCAAGAAAAAGGCAGTTCAATCTAAAAAAAAAATATATGTGTTATACTGGTCAACATTTAACACTAAATATCCATATTCAAACCATATATGTTAAGCTAAACTTTCAAAATGTGTACTCATACAAACACTGCTAAAACCACACACACACACAATAAATAAATATCTGGCATTTTCTTTATAACCTGTACCCCGTGTCCTTTTGTGTCCCTCTATAGTCCATTTCCTGTTGTCTCACCCCGGCTGATACTTCACTAAATCCACTGTTTTAATTGTTCCCTATATTGCCCCTATGCCCTGTAAGGTGTCCTTGAGTGTTATGAAAGGCGCCCCCCAAAATAAATGTATTATCTGCCCCCTCTTTGCTGGGTTTCAACGGCAGATTCTGAAAGATTCATCTGCAGCAACAAACAGAGAAAAGTGTTTTTATTGAGAGTGTCAACAAACCTCCTCGCTGTCGAAGAGCTGGGAACCATCAGCTGGTTCTTCTTCCTCCTCCTCCTCCTGCTGCTGCTGCGCCCCCCCCTCTACCTCCTCCTCCTCGTGCTGCTGCTCCTCGGGGGCCTGCTGATGGACTCCATGTTCATAGGACGTTAGGTATTCATCATCCTTTATAGATCACAGGGATATTGATTACATGGTGACTATGCTACGATAAAGACAATACAGCTTTATTGATAAGGCACTTTAACACCCCCAGACCAAAGTGCTGTACAGTCAGATAAACCAAACTCACAGCTCAGCGCACACACTATAACACAAGTACAATTAAAAAACAATAAGTGACATCAAAGAGGACAATTTCCAAAAAGGCTCAAATTAAAAAACGTGGGAAAAATGATATTAGAGTGCATATCGTTGACTTTATTACGATACCACTGAACGATACCGATACTCAACCGATACATATCGTGATACTTTGAAAATGTATCATCCCACAATTACTCCCATGAAGCGCTTTACGGTATAGTTAACATGTCAAATGAATATTAAATTCAATTGTGGGACTTCTTGGTATAGTACTGAACAAACAATGAAAAATACATTAAAAATATGAAGAAAACCGATTATGGAATATCTTTTATAACACCCGCCATCAGGTGTGCCGCGTGAATAGCACATCTTGTCAATGCAAACAGACCGTTATAGCACGGTTATAATTAATGTTAAACCTGAGATTCGACTAGAGAACAAGTAAATAATAGAATAAAGGTCATGAGATCTCGGCATTGCACAAACAAACAAATCTCATCTTTAAAATCAACACTTCACTGGTGAGAGAAAACAAATCCCATCACAGTTCATTTGTGGGACTTTTACCTTTCTAGTATTGAACAAACAATGAAAAATACATAAAATATGAAGAAAAACGATTATGCAATCTGATTTATAACACCCGCCATCACGGGCCACGGACTCACTTTTAAAAGAAAATGTTAATTTTTTTTTTTTTTTAAAGTATCGAAACCGGATCTGATTTCGGTACGGTATACCATAGCCACCAGTAACCGATATTTCGGTAATACTGGATACCGGTATGCATCCCTAATGGTGCCTGAAGAAATATAAAACCAAAGTCATTAAGATCCAGCCTTTGGGCAACATGGAAACCTGTACCAAATGTCATTGCAATCCATTATGTTAACGTTATGATTGGTGGGTCTGACACACCAGCTTGGCACAATCAAACTTAACTGTGAGTTATTTAGGATGCTAACCTGGGTCCACAGATTTTTAAGTCCTTCTCTTTGTAACCCACCATCCACCAGAGGACTTAATTCCCTTCAGAGAAAAACCCTGTTCCCCCCGAACATAATCCAGGCCGGCAAAACAAACGAATAAAACATGAATGTCATTTCCAGAGGACAGCGTTGAGGCTTCTATAGCATTTGATGAAATGATTATAATCAAATATCTGGATTCTTTATAGATATGTAATTGCTTAATTAACCTGAGTATCAATATTTACTTTTTATTCTAATCTGCGTCTCAGTGTGCGGATGGGATTTGTCATTACAGTGATTAATCATTCAACACCATCTATTTGATCTGGTCCCTTTGATATAATGTCCTCTAAAGTTTGACGTTTTCTCTCGCAACTTCAAATTCCTCCGTGATATAAGGAACAGCATAGAGGCGAGGTACAGTTGTGAGAGGGATGGGGTCAGCGCGAGTAAAAGGGAGGGAGGTGGATCGCCTTGAAAGACAAACATCTCCATGTCTGCCAACCTGCAAATGGCCCCTGTGTTTATTCAGCTGAGGATTGGACGGCAGCCAGAGCATCAATGTGGAAGACTCCTTTCTTCCATGTCAGGGCAAAACGTCGAGATTTTTCATTTGATACATGACAAATGAGATGGTATTGAACAGCGGGGGTGCTGGTAAGGCATGGCTGGGTGAGGTGCAGCCGGTACGGTCGAGGGTAAGAGGAGGGACTTCTGCCAAGATCCTCATCCAGCCCTCATGTTGGGGGAATAGCTTTAACTGATTTGTGTGTGGAAATGAGGAATGTATCGTCTCTCCATTACTGCATGTTGGACATAGCTTCCACTGACCAGAGCATCCTTACACCTGTCTGCTCTGATCACCTGTCTGTGTATGCTAATTGCCTCAAAGCAGCTTTTACATCTTGCATGCAAAAATATGCATTTCAGCTTTATTTTTAATCCAAGAGTTTCAAACTAGCGCCATCCAAATAGCATTAGCCTGGTGATTATGCAGTACCGTGTTTACACCTTTCATCTTTCACCCACTCCACGTGACCTGGTCTGACACAACCAGATAAAGAGGCATTATTCCAACCATGTGCTGATATTTACCACGTTCATCCGGATAATGTGACATTGAGAGGGACAAGCAGAACCAGATTAAGGCCCCCGTTATCACCTGTGCCTCCAAGACATCCGTGACTTCGCCACACATCCACGTGGGCAGGAAATCTGTCGAGAAGCAGACTTTGAAATCAACCTCTTACGACGAGGTGCGATGTGAAGCACTTTGAAAACGCAAGATGCCGCTTACCTGAGCAGATCATCTGTTGTCACTACATGTCTTTCTGGGGAGGGCGATCACATCCGTCAGAGTGTTTAGGAGGGTTCGTATCAAGCGGAACATTCTTTCATCTCGCTTAAGGAGGAGCGTGGCGTTCGTGCCTCCAGCTAAGCTCTGAACTGACACTCTGTCCTGATGGCGTGGCCTTAACTGGGGGTTGATCAGCAGCTCTCACTTTCAATCAGAGTGGAACCTCCTGTCGGTGTCGGAGTTTATAATCCGGACAACTTCGCGTCTCGGTGACATCGTTTCAAACCCACGTCGCCATCGCTAGAAGTGGGTGAAGCTAATCTGGATATGGAATATCATGGTTTTCTGATTGGGACGTCAACAAATAGCCATATTTTGTCACTGCTACGACTAAAGCTTGTGTCAATGCATTGCTTTTAGATATTGGGAAGTCATTCTGCCAAGTTCAAAATGGACAAGTGCATGCTATGTATTTACTCGTTTCTATTGTGTCGATGCAGGAGTCGCATAAGCAAGAACTGGGTGAAGCTTATCTGGAAATTGAAATGGTATTTTTGATGGTTTTCTGATTGTAAAGTCAATGTTATAGAAATATTTATACGGCTAAAGCTTCTGTTAATTCATTGGTTTATTATGAATAATAGTAATTCTGCCTCATTCAAAATGGATACAGGCTGTGCTTGATGCAGAAGTCGAAAAAGCAAACGGGGTGAAGCTTATCAGGATATGGAATTGGTAGCTTTGAGGGTTTTCTCATTGGAACATATTTGGTTATTTCTACGACTAAAGCTTGTGTCAATGCGTTTATTTTACCGAAAGATATTCATTCTGCTTCGTTCAAACTAGCTAAATGCACGCTAAATAATAACTCCTTTCTGCTGTGTTTGATTCAGAATCTCTCGAGTTATTTTACTATGAATTTGGGACACATTTTCAGGAATCACTGACAGCATACATAACAGTTTGCACACATTGATGTCCCTAATAATTACATAAGCTTCCACGCCAAAAGCCTGGTGTCTCTAGTCTTAGATATGGCACCTACGCCAGGGTGTAGAGCCTCTCTAGTGAGACTGTGACACTCTTTTAAGGATCGCTGATGGAAAAATGTGTTTTGAATTCCCAAGTTGACACCTCGTGTGTCTGTGGGACGGAGCGGATGTCACAGGTTATGAGTCGACTTCCTGCAGCTCACGCAAGAACGCCTTCATTAGCAGACGTTTCCATTTGATGTAGCATATATAGGTTGATGGACTCTCCCCTGATAGCACTGATTACAGAGTGTTAAATGCAAGCGGGGAAATGTTGTAGGTGGATAATTGTGTGCTTAGTGGATAAATGGAGTTGTAAAAGCCATCTGGTACATTCTAAAGTAAAATTAAGGAGCATTGGAGGTTTGTTTTTGTTACTATTTACTTGAGAAGGAGTTTCTTTACTGTTGGTTGGAGATTCAAGATTCAATTCAAAGGTGTTATTCTCATATGCTCAAAGCTACAGTGTAGAAATGGCAATGAAATTCTTCTGACCTGATCTCCTCCAACAATGCAACATATATAATAAAATACAAAATAAAAAGTAGTGCAAAAAGTCTATATACATATAAAGGCATCTAATATGTGTATTCAGCTTGTTTCAATGCCATCATTTCCATGACGATAAGCACTGAATAATAATAATAATA